TTTTAAAGAAGACTTTATATGAAAAATCAGTGTAAGTATCAAAATTATGTAAGCTACCCATCATTATTTTTTTTTGCCTGAATTGCTGCATTACTGTTGTGACAATTCAACGACAATCTGCCTGTGAAAGTACATAAGTTACCATTGGGACTTGACAAACGCAATCAAATAAGCCTTCAAAAAATCATCCCTGAAGTAGCACCCGTTTCTTCTAATATAACCACATCGCTAGGCAAGCATATTATGGAACCCACAAACCTCAGAACTCTGACCGATGACGTTGAGCTTAAAATATAGATGAATTGATATAATCTGTTCACGAAAGTGCAGGGCTTAACCATCAGGTTGTTCTAATAAATTCCTTTTTTGCATAAGTATCTCACGTAATGGAATAAATGATTTATTCTAAGAATACTCATTGTCCGTTATTGTGTCTTTTGTCGGGTATTTAGTTCTCATTATTGTTATCTCACTAACTTAACGCTTCTTGAAATCTCATTCAAATTCATATTTGATAAAAATAGGATGCTTGACATTCCCGCTAATAAGGATGTATCGTTTATCTGGCAACATAATGTATTATCATTGACACAAATGATTCCAAAAGCCTGTAGAGGGACCATTTGTTGTGTGTCAACAGATGACCCACCTAAGATCTTAAACGTCAAGTACCCAAAGTTCCATTCCTAAATGATTATAAAGACTTTTCTATCTGAATACGTTAATGATGAATATTGTGATTGTGGACGAAGAAAGATCAAAGAAATATTTCCAATTCCTATAAGGGTTATACGATTCTTTGATAGCTAAATACGAAGCTCAAGTGATAATATATACAACATTAAATAGAAAAAAACACCGCTATAACAGAAACCAACCACGTTTATTAATTAGTATGTACCTGTGTGGGAGCAGGACTCTTGTGTCGCCTATTTGGGGTTGGGGTAGCCTTGTGGTTAAAACGGGGATTCGAGAAGCATGTAACATTTTATAAATATAAAACGTCAAAACAAGAGAATAACCATCCTTGCTTATCCAACAAAACAGGTTACATTAGCGGCAAAAGGGAAATAGCCGTGAATTTGATCATGAATTGGTCACTGAAAATTAAGTCTTTGCGAAAAGGGTAAACATGACCTGCCCAACCGGTAGCACCAGTCATTCACACAGTTTGCATATTAAATTAATGTGTGCACGCAGTAATCCTGTCATGCGTCTGTGGCATGTGAGCAAACCAGACAATCAAGTGATGGAAAACCCAGTCATACGAAAGCGCACCTACTGATTTAGTAAAAACTAAAAACGTTATGTTAATTTTGAATTACGCCTGTGTGTACAAGACCAGAGATTCTGCTGCTTATAAGTAAAGAAAAAACGTTAAGACATTTGTTCGTTTTGCAACACAGAGGAGGCAGTTTAATGCGTGATGATTTATGTGTACTCCGCTGTGGTTGTGGCTTGGGTATTGCTCGAAATCGACGTACAAATCAAAGTGAATCATGACGAGTCATGACTAATAATTTCTGTGTCAAACCATACCGTTACGGATAGCGCATGAACAATGATAATGGAAATGACAGACATAGTCGACTGTTTGCTCACGACAAGCATGGGTTGCAGAAGACCAATTCTAACCCGTATCGTCCTGGGAACAAAATTGGTGAAACCCAAAACACAGGTATGGTGCTGATAAAGCAAGGGTCTAATCAGGGCCAAGCTGGGATTCGAACCCATGACGTCCATAGGTTCCTGGTACGCAAACTGGACAACGGGGAGGCGCGGGGCCCGAGCTGAATGTACATATAAAATATTAATGGCAAAGCATTATGTAGAAAACTTACCATATAGCCGAACTCTTTATATCCGTAGTAAAATGTAGCATAATGCTGGTAATAAATAATTCAGTGAGTGTGTGAGTGCTGTGCAAAGTTATGCCACTTAGCTGTAGGAATCCGCTAATGATGGTTTCGAATGTTAAACATACTTCAGTGATCTTTGGTACAAGGAATGGCTGAAAAGTTCTGAGTGAGTGTGATCAACGCCGCTTTCAACAGTATTCCAGTCATATCACGGCGTGTCAGCTTAGTGTGTGACGAAAGCCCCAAGTGATGCAGGTCTCGGACTTTTACCACTTTGGTGAAACCCACGAGCACGGGTATGGTGCTGACAAACCCAGAAACATAATCGGGGCGAACCTGGATTCGAATCCAAAATCATAGGTTTCTGGCGTGCCCAAGGGACGCAACTCTGCACGGCGAATCGCGGCGCCTTAGACCACTGGGCCACCAGTGCCCCCAAACAATTCAGAATATTGTTCCCCACAGCCAGCTTAAAATTACTCTATAACCGACAGTTTCTTACATCCGGAGTTACATGTACCTTTAACGCATTGCAGTTAAAGCGTATCCAACTTCCTCATATCCGAAGTTTTGTATCCGCGATACATATTACAGGCAAATCTAACTTAACTCTTGCTAAAAATTTGTTTGAACCTGGTTACAACATTTAAGGCCTTTGTGGTGCTGTTGTTAATTTATTTTAGAGAGATGCGTCCCTTGGACACGCCAGAGGCCTGTGGTTGTCGGTTCGAATCCTGGTTCGCCCCGATTGTTTCTAGGTTTGTCAGCACCTTACCCGTGCTCGTGGGTTTCACCCAAGTGGTGAACGTCTAAGACCTGCATCGTAATTACTTTCCTCCCATATTAAACTGACACCCTGTGATATAACTTGGTGCATCAATGATCAATATTCCTCATGTCGAGTTGTACAATAGTGTCCGTGTTGTTTTTCAGATAACATTGACTTGCCTTAGCATGTGTTTGTGATGGGTGCCACCATTGGGGTTGGACACGCTCACCTTTCGCAAACACCTGGTATAATCTCTTTGGGATAGTGATTCATAACACATGCTCATGATACAGTCGGAATCGTACAGTTGACACTTCATTGTACAGTGGGGGCGGTCGGGTAGCCTAGTGGTTAAAGCGTACGCTCGTCACGCCGAAGACCCGGGTTCGATTCCCGATATGGGTAAATGTGTGAAGCCAATTTCTGGTTTCTATTGTTGGAATATTGATAAACGCTGCGTGAAACCACACTCACTCACTCATTGTACAGTGGATCTTGATTTGAATTGAAATAGTGCTTGGTAATCACTGAACTGGTGGACACCGCCTCAATGCTCGTAGAGCGTCCGGAGAGCCGGAGGTCCGGGGTTCGAACCCCGACTGCGTCATTCCAAAAGAGGTTAAAAGATGGTACTTGTTGTTACCCTGCCTGTATCGGCATCAAATCGCTTAAACAAGGACTGGCCGGCTCGGAGTTAATATACTGAGTGTGAGTATTCGTGTTAAACTGCGGTATGGTATTTCAGTGGGCTATCACAATAGAATCGTCATTTTTCTGGACTGGTACGAGAGCCACATGCACGCACGCACGCACGCACGCACGCACGCACGCACGGACGCAAGCACGCACGCACGCTCGCACGCACGCACGCACGCAATCACACACAAAGTGAACCGGATTAGAATGTGTTCGGTTTGTCATTTCAAATATAAATACGTCAAACGCTATGAATATACGATGAGTATAAAGTAATGTGGCAGCCCTTTTTAAAAAAAACCCCATCTTTTTGAGAAAACTGCAAAAGATGAGTTTCCGGTCTAACGGGGTCATGTATGCATGAATAAACCACTTTAATGACATTGGGACGACACATTTACAAGCTCTGGGCTGCAGACCTTTACATATACAATCTTGGCGTTTCATATGCAAACATGTAATGCAAACATGCTTCCCAAGGAAATCGGTTATAGTGGTTCTGTTCCGTAGACGGGACGAGAATACAAGGATCTGCCTAATCAAATATATGGGACTAACTTAATGAACTGTGTTTGGATTCCGGGCCGTTAGCGGAGGGCTCTGGCACATTCTGAGACAAACCATTGGCGATGTGAGCCGTGGACCCCGACACTATCAGTGAGGCTGCCACCAATCTAGGCTACATCCAGATACAGGCATACCGAGTACTGGCTATTGTTCTTACAACTTGTAACATATCACGGAGTTCTCTCAAAGGGACGAGACATCACAATGAGGCGGAATCAATGCTTGTAGACAGACACTGGGGTAGCCTTACTATTGTATTGCTACAGCTTGTGCTTGCATCAAGCATACGGCTTTACAAATCATATGCCACAAGACGAGACTTCGGTAATAAGGGTCATGACTTTTTATTTCCCTTTGCTTTCATCAATCATTTATTGTAACAGAATAAGAAAATTAGCCCAAGATATTTGATGAAGCGAGTGACAGTTCCCAGGGATGGAAATTGAAATAGGCGCACGAGGAAATGCATAAGGCGCGATTGTTCGCCAAAGAAAGGATAAATCTGCTCCTCCTTGCTACCGTAGTGCAATATACTATTTCGCGTCCGCGCAACATTAGATGGCATTTTGTCAATAAGTCACTACTGATATATAAGGTTGAGGAACGAGCGCAAGTCTCCACAGATCAATGCTGGAGAACTAACAAGAAGTCATTTCTCATTCTCTTAATCTTGACTTCGTCGCCCTTGCTGCCAGAAATCATGTGCTGAACTCCGAGGCGGGAGGCCCTAAACGCGAGCGGGCTTTTATTAGAAGCCTCGGTCACCTCCAATTACAAAGTTGCCAGACCTAACCTGTTGGAACTTCTAACACGGCTACCAGCTAAGCCACTAGACCCAGAGCACTGCAGACAGAACCATTTACAACTATTGATTATGTTTCTTGAAAAGCAAATTAATCTTTGTAATTTTTGCTGAATCTATCATGAATCTGGTAAAAGATTATCCCCTCCAAACCGGGTTTTGATGACATGATTATATAATTCAGATTTATAAATACAATTTGTCCAACAACTGTCTGAATGGTATAATACCATGCTAAGGAGGATAGAAAGCCTCAGCCTTCCCAAGAGTCGGTCTATCGCTGTACTCTTGAAGGCCCTTTCACAACTCAGTCAATACTCTGGAGTTTCCGTGAAATTGACACGCGCTGATTGGATGTTTGTTTCCGGTGTGGTGGAGAAGAGGCGCGCGTGCGCTCGTGCGAATAGCAGACGATAGTTCCTCGTGGAGTTAAAAGGGCGGGAACAAAGCTAACACCCGAGTCATATGTAATTTTATTTCTGTTACCCCCGTGTTGAGGGCACGGAACTATTTCGCTGGACTTGCATCATGCTTTGGGACACCAATTTGCTTGTAGTGATAGGTGCACGTGCAACTGTGTCCCCCTGAATCAGTTTATTCTATCGACCAAGTTGACGGACACAAAGCAAGTCATAATGTTCCCATGGTTGTTGCTCAATTTGGATATAACTGGTAGTCTCCTGTTGATTATCAACTTCTTGGGGCTAGGTAAGTATATTTAATGTGTTGATTCAAACGACCATCGATACCATTTCCGTGGCTAAAGGGTTGTGTAAACGTTACCCAGACTTGCTATAATATGTTTAATATCAGGTTTGCCGGTGTCTGAAGCTCAATTAAACTTTCGTTTTTTGTAATTGTTTCATCGGGCCGCCCTGTTGTTTCAATTTCCTATTGGGAATATAACCGGAGAATAGTAATAAATATTAATGGCACCCGTGACGGAATGAGAGGGGTGACAATTTTTATAAATGTTAAATTATTTCGTAGGTAGATAATTATGTCCACACTGGAAAAGTCAACAAAACATCATACAGTTTTACATTTCCAACAAGGAGAATGTTGAAAAAAAACTCGTTCATTTCCTATATATCACATTTCCTCTACTGCACTAAGTGAGCTATACTGCGATCGTTTTGTGAGCAGTGTCATCATACAGCGATTATATATTTATGATTTATCAGCTGACATTTTAATAAAGCCCTGTTTCATTTACACAGAGGAATATTGTATTCCATCCTGTACTATCATTGATATCTGAACAACATCTGCAGAGATAAAATCTAAGCAGGTGATAAAAAAATGGGCGTTTGGATATACACAGGACATAAGTCGTTTAGACTTTCAAACACCGGATTATGTTTGGGATAATAATATAATGATAACCGTAACAGATCCGCCAGAACCAAACACTCTTTTATTTATTCACCAAACGTCCATCGGGGATAATTGAGAATATTGCTATGATTTTAAACACAAAGCACCTCACAACGGTGTTCTATAATTAATCTGTTTACACCTGTCCGTCCGGTGTCACAGTTAGCCTTTTGTAAATATTAACACACTTGTGTGCGTCTAAAAGGCATATTTGTTCTTATAAAGGCTGGACGATAATCGAATGGTTCTATCTTCTGCCAATGCCAGTGTTTATTAAAGGGGAATACTCGAAACCCATGTCAACAATGTAATCTGGGCTACATGCCACCTGGGAGCTGTGTCACCTGTTAGGAAAATAATAGGCGTCAAGTTTAGATTAATTAAGTCTTTGTTGAAAGTTCTTATTTCGTACTAGAAAGACTCGAATTCTGTTACTATTGGCTTTCACTTGTTAACGATTCTCAGACAAATAGGAACGTGGAATATATAAATGTGATACGCTATGATTCAATTTCAATTGAACTACTTAACATCGTGTGATAACGCATTGATTATGCGCAGTATGACAGTATGGCAATGAAGTTTTTAGGAAATAGGCGATCGATGTTATGTGTATTATGACGGTTATCCTGTAAATGCACAAGCAACAAGTAATCCAATAGATAACAGAATAAGCCAAATGTAACAGAATATGTGTGGAATTGTTTGCCACTTGAAGAATACGGATTCTAAATATATCACAACATATGTTTGTAGCGTCTTGAACCACGTAGAACTTGAAATGATATATTTTGTACGTCACTTTAGCAATTCCACGACATAGATGAAAGTATTTTGAACGGTTTTATGAAATGAGCCTTATTAGTATGTTAAAATTATTCATGTTGCTACAAAACAATAAAGTGTTGACAAAACACAAGAGTTTCGATAAATACAAATGAAGAACGAGTGTGTATGTAATTTCCAAAGTGTAATATGATAAATGGCATCATAACGGTTTGGACGGGAAGTACGGGTTGGCCTTCCAGCATCGAAAAGCTTGAAGGGGCGACTTGTTGATTTGCGAGTCATCGTAACTCTACGCTATGGATTGTTGCTCACAATATCAATCTCTAGGTTATCTGGTCCTGACTCGCATAATGCTATTTCGGCTTGAGAGTCCGGCAAGTTGAAGAAACGCTTTATTGTCGTAAATAAATGAAGTTACGATTGTATAGTTTACATGTGATATTCAATAGTTTATTTGCCGATGTCTTCTTTACACAAAAGAACATTATGCGGATTGAGGTGATATAATTGCCACAAAATCAGCGACACCCAACTGTGTAATGAAATATGTGTTGAATAGAAACTTTCCATGGCATAATTGATATATGATACTAATCTTGCACATTGCTAATAACAACTGGTAAAATATACCTTGTCAAAATGTCACTGCAACATGATAGCGACATTGGATAAAATAGATTGTTCTGAATCTGTGGAAGATAACATTTTACGTGAATACCCAATGTAGTGAAAACGATTACAATTCCACGCCATCGACACAAATCATCTATCAAATTGCGGAACAACACACTCATAATGATTTTGAAATTTGATGTTGATGTTGAAAGTTATCATAAATAATGTATATGTACATTTTCAGAAATGGATACACAGTAATAATGAACCAAGGATATACGTATAGTGTATCAAACACGAAGATGATCGGTAGTAATCACTCTCAATTGAATAACCTCATGTAGTCAAACACGTAGTTTGACTGAGCTTGTAAGGAGCACGTCCAGTTATCAAATATTTCCGTTACACCCAGAATCGAAAATCCAAAGAGATGTCATTGCTCCAACATAATTCAAACAATACGTTCTGATCTTCTTGAACATTTCACAATAAGAACAAACTCGCTACATTTAGCATACTAAATTTAGAAATTCTTTAGTCTTAAAAAATAAATCTTAAGAAAGATCAGAAGGCAATGTTTCTTGGCAGTAAAGTGAATATAACATTTACCCCCAGTGTTCTGAATAATATATGTAGTAATAATCTTTTTCGACTGATGTTGGTTTGTTTCTCTAATGAGACGTTCTGCATATGTGGTCTTGGCCTTTTGGAAGAGAAATATTCATGTTGCTAACAAACTTACCTTATTCACCATCGGGTCGATATTATTCTTATTACTGTATTTTTCTCGGCCATCTATTGATCGACTTGAACATATACATTACGGTTAAGACTCCAGAGCACTTTTAACTACTCTCACAAAGCTAATTTGAAAAAGAAATCTATCATACAAACCTCATTAAGGCCATGGTTTGATGTTCAGTCATATTTTAATGTTACTTATCCTGTCATTCAACCTGCCGTTGTCTTACGTTGATGCCCTCATGCTCTACCTCAGCGCGTGTCTCGTTTTGGGCGTTAGACGAGGTATGTTATGACCACGTGTTTTATTAAGACATCACCTGAATCTGTCATTAAGTTAATAAATACCACATGCATTCACATATAGCGTTTACGGTTAAAAGCCTCCATAACCTACCGGATGGGTAACATGACCTTGAAAGGGGCATTCATCCAATAATTGTTCTGTAAAGTTAGGCTATGTCTTATTAGTTTCTTACATTTCAAGTAACCAATATGGTGTATAAGGAATGTATGTATCTACTATTGTCGGAATTTACGATGGACATTTCTTCTTCTCCTTCTTCTTCTTCTTACACAAATTAAATAAAATAAATAAATGCAGCAAAGGGGGTTTGGGTGATCGTGGTACAGTCAGGCTGGTTAGGCTCATCATCATCTCAGAGCTGTTTGTCTCCTCAACACGCAGCTGATGGGACTTCTAGGAAGCACTGCCTAGACGAATCCACCAACCACCTTTCGGAGATTGTGACGACTCCCCAATGCAGCCTTCTGCATTACCCAGTGTGTCAAAAGAGCTGTATTCCTGGCAGCGAACCCGGGTACTCTCCCAGTGTCAGTCAACAGATTGGGAGGTACCAAACCAAAGGCACTGGGAGATGTACTTATGTAGCGACATGCATTCACGTGTGTCATGATGAACGTCGATAAAAAAATCACATCTCCGTGAATCTCGCACATCGAGAACGTTCATACTTAGGGTTCAAATTAGACCCTATGGAAGTATTGCGACCTAGTAGTTGCAATCTAATTATTGCAGTCGTCGCTATGCAAACCTGGACTATTAACCAAAGTCTAGGTGTATATTGATATAATTCACTTCACCTAATCCGTTAGTGCAAATTACCTCGCCCCTGAGTCCTCCCTGTTAATACAGAATGCTGTGAAAAACATTGTTTAACACTTGTAGTCTCACTTGGAGGAATATCTAATTAATGGATTTCCTTTATTAGGGAAATCCACGGTTCTAAAGACGTTGCCTGTTCATGCAGACACACAGACACGAGGGAAATTATAGCACAGTGCGAATTGTACGCTAACGGCCATTGGGCAGTATTATTATGGGCCTAAGCTCCTTGACCACCTGCGGCCAGCCGCTTACCCTTGTAATGAATGACATTACTGGACACTGAACATTGACATTACAAACATGGGACTCCGCAGAGCGTCGAGCATTGATCGTACAAACCATACTGTCGATGTGACATCATGGTGCCCTTTTCAGTGTCACCTAGTACAAACGTTGATCTTTTCAATGGTATGGAGTCTGGGCCTTTGAATACACTTGTACCCCTTGATCCTGCGTATATAAAATCGTCCAAGTATCTGTTCCTTCCAGTATAGTGTATCACACATGGATATTTAATCTCAGTAGTATACGCTGTTTTCATTGGCACTGACGTTCGTAAGACTGATCAGGAGTCAGCAAGTGAATTACCATGATACGTTTTGCCGATTCTGTTCTTCTGTCCCAATTGTGTGCAATGTGCAGAGGTTCTCAAGGAAGCGTGGATGTGTGTACAGTGAAACCTAATTAATCAGGACAGTCCCGTTCGCAATGAAGTTGTACATGCATATCTGGATTAACGAATCGTGGCGTACAGCCTCACTGTACACACATACATGTACCTTTGGCTGGTGGCTGTAGAAGCAATCATTTTGAGTCTCATATCACAGATCACACATGCACATGTACGCAAAATAAAGAACGCAGTCATTCACCAGTCGCTATTTTTTGCACTGCGCACTCTTGTACATGAAATACTATTCTATGAAAGATAGGGATCATGAATACCTCTGGGGATATCTTTTTATGTTGTGTGCTCAGTCTTCACTTAACAAAAACCCCTGAAATAGATTAATGAACTTATTCGATGAGTATATAATATAACCATCCATTGTCAGTT